AATATCCCTAGGCAGGGAGTTCCACAGCCGAGGGGCTGCCACAGAAAAGGCCCTGTCTCTCATCCCCGCCAAACGTGCTTGCGAAGCAGGCGGGCTTGAGAGGAGGGCCTCCTCTTCCGATCTCAAGTTCCTGGTCTGTTGCCAAGCCCCTTGTCTGTCTCCTGAGGAATCTGTACAACAACCAAGTATCAACAGTAAGAACAGGAACAACCACCGAACAACAGACTGGTTCAAGATTGGGAAAGGAGTATGGGAGGGCTGTCTACTCTCACCTGACCAACCTGTATGCAGAACACATCGTGCGATGTGCAGGGCTTGACGAATCCGAGGTTGGAGTTAAAAGTGCTGGAAGAAAGGTTAACAACCTTAGATATGCAGATGATACCACTTTGAGGGCCAAAAGTGAGGAGGAGCTGAGGAGCCTTCTAATCAAAGTGAAAGAAGAAAGTGCAAAAGCTGGGTTGCGGCTAAACATTAAAAAAACCCCCAAGATTATGGCAACAAGATAACTGGGAAATAGAGGGAGAAAACATGGAGGCAGTGACGGACTTTGTATTTCTAGGTGCAAAGATGACTGCAGACGCAGACTACAGCCAGGAAATCAGAAGAGGTTTCCTTCTTGGGTGGAGAGCAAGAACAATCTCGATAAAATAATGAAGAATAGAGACATCACACTGGCAACGAAGGTCTGCATAGTTGAAGCAGTGGTATTCCCCTTAGAAACCTATGGATGTGAGAGCTGGACCATAAGGAGGGCTGAGTGAAGGAAGAGAAACGCTTTTGGACTGTGGTGCTGGAGGAAAATGCTGAGAGTGGTTTGGACCGCGAGAAGATCCAACCAGTCTACTCCAGGAAATAAAGCCCGACTGCTCATTGAAGGAAAGGATAGTATTGGATTGTGATTTACGTGTAATATTGTGTATTATGTTTTTTATGGTTTTAATTGTATACTGTGCACTGTATATTTTGTTGTAAACTGCGTTGAGTCGCCAGTTAGGCTGAGAAACGGCGGTATACAAGGACAGTAAATAAATAAATAAATAAATAGTAGAGGTAAAGATGAAGTACTTTAGCCACATCATGAGAAGAAAGGAAAGCTTAGAGTAGACAATGATGCTGGGGAAAAAGGAAGAGGGGCAGACCAAGGGCAAGATGAATCCTTGAAGTGACTGGATTGACCTTGAAGGAGCTGGGGGTGGTGATGACTGACAAGGGAGATCTGGCCTGGGATGGTCCAGGAGGGCACCAAGAGTTGGAAGCAAATGAACGAATAAACAACAAGCCCTAAATGGTTCTGGCCCAGCTTACCTGTCCGAACATATCTCTCCTTATGAACCATCTAGGGCCCTAAGATCTTCTGGGGACGCCCTGCTCTCGGTCCTGCCTTCTTCACAGACCCGGTTGGCGGGAACGAGGGACAAGGCCTTCTCAGCAGTGGCCTCCTGGCTATGGAACGCGCCTCCCTAGGGATGTCAGATCAGCCCCCACCCACCTAACATTTTGAGAAAAAGTTAAAACGTGGCTTTTTGAGCAAGCTTTCCCAAATGCAGTGTAGCAAACAAACTCCGATCTTTGGAACGACTGGACAATGCGATTGGATAATGATTTTTAGTAATGTCATGCTGTGAATTTATACTTTTATCGGTTTAATTTTATTTTGTCAACAGTTATTTATTATAAATGTTTTAATTGTTCTTTGTTATTGTAGGCATCGAATTGTGCCATTTGTAAACCACCCTGAGTCACCTTCGGGCTGAGAAAGGTGGTAAAAACTACACAAAGTGGCAAACAAACATGTCTGACAATTTTAATGATTTTAAGTTACAGTTACATGTTATTGTTTTTTATATGTTATGTTTTTATTAGTATGTGAGGCATTGAATTTTTGCCAATTATTATGCTGTACACTGCTTTGAATCCCCTCCTAGGGGTGAGAAAAGCGGTATAGAAATGTAGCAAATAAATAAATAAATAAATATAAATATGGTTAATAAATAATAATAACAACAACAATATCCCAGAGAATACCTCTCTGTGAATCTCTATGAAAGAACATTTTTCTCATCTTGTGGCAGTTTTCAAGATGCTAAGAGAAAAAAGCCCAAAGCAAAACTTTATGGTGTGTTTGGCCATGTGGTTTTTAAAAGGGATGGGCAGATTTGTATTCCATTACTGGAGTTACACATTTTAAAGAGGAAGTCCTTAATTGTTATACGACATCAGTCAGATGAATGTAAAGAAAGCACTCAAAAGGCTGTGTACACAGACTGAAAGACAATTAAAAGAATTAGCTGGAATATTAGGTTTAAAATAGTGCACACAAGAATAACAAAAGAGGGTTACATGTTCTTTGAATTACTGAGAAATTAAAGAAATTTTCATTTTCTGAGTTATGCTGAGCTGGTGCATAGACAAGCCAGGATACTAATGCATCCTGGTTAATTGTTTCTCTTATAGACAGAATGGCTTAACCAACATGGACTTTCTGTTCAGGGAGCTGTTTCTCAGGTTTGTTTCACACACTCCTAGACAGAGAATTAATCCAGAATTCCTTCCATGGTTAATCATCTGACTCCTTACAAGGGAAGTAACTCACAAGTGCAGGTTTGCAATTGAATTCCCACATTGCAAAAACTGTGGACTTTGTCCGTGCTTTGTTTAGTTTCTCCCATGACAAATAGGAGCGATTGGACAGTGTCAACCAGTATGTGCCTAGTCCTGGTGTATTTACAATTCTAATCTAATCCCAGTTGATCTAAAATTCTTCAAAAATTCAATTCCACTGTAAGCATAAAGTTGCTGCAGGTGGCACATGTTATCTTTAACGTGAAAGGAAAACTCTACAGCACTTTTTCTCAAACTCCCTAATGCTGTGACCCCTTCATACAGTTCCTCATATTGTGGTGACCCCCAACCATAAAATAATTTTCATTGCTACTTCATAATTGTACTTTAAATATCTGATATGCAAGATGTATGCAGGATGTATTTTCATTCACTGGACCAAATTTGACACAAATACCCAATATGCTCAAATTTGAATACTGGTGGGGCTGGGGGCGTGATTTTGTTGTTTGGGAGTTGTAGTAATATAATAATAATAAAATAATAAAACTTTATTTATATACCGCTCCATCTCCCCGAGGGGACTCAGAGCGGTTCTCAGGTAACATCACAAAAACATACAGAATAAACATAACCATAAGATTAACAAAACAATATAAGTATAAAAATTGTCGCCATAACACACATATATTAAAAGTAATCCTGCCCGTTCAAGGCAATTTGAAAGTGTAAAAGGCTGGGCCAAGATTTGTGCAAGCCCAAAAATTCTATGAGGCCCGGGAATTAAGTGCAATGCTATGGCAGGCAACAATAATATTAGGTACGGGTCTGTGGCTGTTCATTCCGGGGCCGATTAGAGGAAAGAATTCTGGGTAATTGGTAGGAAGAATAAGGCCGTATTCGACAATGTGTAGGGCTGAGTTAGAACTGGTCATTTTCAAAGGCTTGTTGAAATCACCAGGTCTTCAAGCTCTTATGAAAGGAGGGTAGGGATGGGGCCTGTCTTATTTCCCTTGGAAAGGCATTCCAGAGACGGGGGGCCACCACCGAGAAGGTCCTCTCTCTCGTCCCCACCAACCACGCTTGTGACGGAGGTGGGACCGAGAGGAGTGCGGAACTATTGGAAGATCTCATAGTTGCTGGGATTTATAGTTCACCTACAATTAAAGAACATTCTGAACTCCACTAACAATGGAATTGAACCAAACTTGGCACACAGAACTCCCATGACCAACAGAAAATACTGGAAGGGTTTGGTGGGCATTGACCTTGAGTTTTGGAGTTGTAGTTCATCTACATCCAGAGAGCACTGTGGACTCAAACAATGATGGATCTGGACCAAACTTGGCACAGATACTCAATATGCCTAAATGTGAACACAGGTGGAGTTTGGGGGAAATAGACCTTGACATTTGGGAATTGTAGCTGCTGGGATTTATAGTTCACCTACAATCAAAGAGCATTCTGAACCCCACCAATGAGAGTTGGGCCAAACTTCCCACACAGAACCCATATGACCAACAGAAAATACTATGTTTTCTAATGGTCTTTGGTGGCCCCTCTGACACCCCCTCACGACCCCAGGGGTACCGACCCCCAGATTGAGAAACACTGCTCTACAGGATGTTAAGATTTTTTCTTAAAATGTATGATTTAGTGTATTCAGCCATATCTCTGATAGGGATAAATAATAATCATCATCTCAGGTGACAGCAGGATCGCAGAGAAACAACTGGAAAAACTGACACAATATGAGGACTTAAAAATTGAACTGCAAAGACTCTGGTGCAAACCAGTAAAGGTGGTCCCAGTGGTGGCCTGCACTTAAACACAATCGGCGCTGACAACACGACCATCTGCCAGCTGCAGAAGGCCACCTTACTGGGACCTGCATGCATAATTCGCTGATACATCACACAGTCCTAGACACTTGGGAGGGTCAACAGCTGTGGACTCATCTTGTTGTGTTTCTAATAATAATAATAATAATAATAATCTTTATTTATATAATCTTTATTTATATCCCGCCACCATCTCCCACAACGGGGACTCGGAGCGGCTTACATGAGGCCAAGCCTGAGCAACAAACTACAGTACAATAAGATGCAAATTACAATAAAATAAACAACATAACATTAAAGTATAAAACATAAAAGCATATAAACAATATACACAAAACATAAAAAAGCCTGTTTGATTTGGGATTGCATTGTCACTCTCTGTACCAGAGTATTTGTTGATTTAATGTGTGAATTTTCTCTGATCACAAAACCTTGCATATAGAAATAATTGGAAAACCCGAGTTCTGAGGAAATGTATATATTATGGGTAAGCCTTCTAGTTAACACACATGCAAATATTTCTGGCTAGGAGTCCCATGAAAAATTTAAAATTTAGGTATTAATATACTTACTGCTCCTGTTGTTGTGTTTTAGGCTGAAGAGAAGATAACACCCGAGCCCAGGCTTAAGAAGTTGGAGCCCATTCTTTTGCCAGGTAATCCTTGTTTATTGAGATAGGTTTTGTTCCACAGTTTGTAATGCAAGCTATTAATTTAAATGCCCAAAGAGTCTTTTCATTTACAAGGCTGTATTGCTTACAATAGACGTGTTATTAATTGTGGATAAAATGTATCCTGAGGTTTGTAGAACTGCTTTTGTGTGTGTGGTGTTGGTACCTATCCCTATGTTTTCCATAGTATTTCTACCTCTGGTACCAAAGAAGGAATAATCAGGAATGCATCCAGTTTGTGTTAACTGAGGCATATGCAGATTTAAGTACTGTATATACTCGAGTATAAGCCTAGTTTGTCAGTCCTTTTTTTAAGCCAAAAAAGTTTTTCTCGGCTTATACTCGAGTCAAGGTTTTTTATTATTTTACTCTATTATTATTATTATTATTATTATTACATTAATCATTTTACTCTTTATTGTTGTTATTATTAGATTTATTATTTTACTCTATTACTGTTATTATTACATTTCCATTAATTTACTCTATTATTATCGGAAGGATATGTAAACACATTTACACTGAAGAAGGTTAGAATAATGCTTTACTCAGAGGACAGTCTTATCTTAACTTACAGTTTTATTCAAAAACATTTAACCTACCGATGCCTCAGTTAATGCAATGTTATTGGTATCTATTTTTATTTTGAAATTTACCCGTAGCGGCTGCATTTCCCACCCTCGGCTTATACTCGGGTCAATCCGTTTTCCCAGTTTTTTGTGGTAAAATTAGATGCCTCGGCTTATATTAGGATCGGCTTATACTCGACTATATGCGATATATTGAGATGTTTAATTGAGCTGTTTCCATGATGAACTTTCACAGTCTTACCCAGTCTTCAGCTTCGCCACACCTGATGAGACGTATTATTATTACTGCTATTGTTATTATTATTTGATACACTACAAGATTAGTACACAGCAAAAAAGATCACAACACTGGCTTTTGTGTTCAATCATACTTTGAATCTTTCCCAAGTGTCTAGGGCTGTGTGATGTATCGGCAAATAATGCATGCAGATCTGAACAGGGTGGCCTTTTGCAACTGAGAGATGGTAATTTTGTCAATGCCGATTGTTTTTAAGTGCAGGCCAAGGTCTTTAGGCATTGCGCCCAGTTTGCCGATGACCACTGCGAACATTTTTACTGGCTTGTGCCAGAGTCTTTGCAGTTTGATGTTTAAATCCTCATATCGTGTAAACCAGTGGTTCTCAACCTGGGGTCTCTAGATGTTTTTGGCCTACAACTCCCAGAATTCTCAGCCAGTATACCAGCTGTTAGGATTTCTGGGAATTGAAGGCTAAAAACATCTGAGGACCCCAGGTTGAGAATCACTGGTGTAAACTTCTCCATTTGTTTCTTGTCGATTCTGCTGTCACCTGAGATTGCAACATTTATTATTATTATTATTATTGTTGTTATTATTGTTGTTGTTATTATTATTATTATTATTATTATTATTTTAGTGACACAAAAGCACAGTATGTCACAGCAAATGAGATCTCTATGCTGGATTTCATATCACAAAATCACAAGTTGAACACTTCCTGAGCATCTAGGACTGTGTGATGTATTTTCGAATGATGTGTGCAGATCCAAGCCTGGTGGCCTTTTGCAGTTGACAGATCGTGATTTTGTCGATGTTTATTGTTTCCAAATGCTGGCTGAGATCTTTTGGCACGGCACCCAGTGTGCCGATGACCACTGGGACCACCTGTACTGGTTTATGCCAGAGCCTTTGCAGTTCGATTTTGAGGTCTTGATAGAGGCTGAGTTTTTCCTGTTGTTTTTCCTCAATGTGACTGTCACCTGGAATGGCAACATCAATAATCCAGACTTTTTTCTTTTCCACAATCGTGATGTCTCATGTATTGTGTTCCAATACTTTGTCAGTCTGGATTCGAAAGTCCCAGTATTTTTTCATGTTCATTTTCCACTACCTTTGCAGGTTTATGATCCCACCAGTTCTTTACTATTGGCAGGTGGTACTTGTGACATAAGTTCCAGTGAATCATCTGGGCCACAGAGTTGTGTCTTTGTTTGTAGTCCGTTTGTGCAATTTTCTTGCAACAGCTGAGGATATCCATGGTTTCATCCGCTTCCTTGCACAGTCTGCATTTTGGGTCATCCGCTGATTTTTCAATCCTGGCCTTAATGGCATTGGTTCTGATGGCTTGCTCCTGGGCTGCAAGAATCAGGCCTTCTTCTGTCTCCTTCTTCAGGTTCCATTCATGAGCCATAACCAGGTCTTCTCCCTGTCAACTTTTCCTTCAGTTTTGTCAAGTAACTGCCCATGTAAGGCTTTGTTGTGCCAGTTGTTAGCTCTGGTTTGGAGTGCAGTTTTCTTGTATTGACTCTTTGTCTGCCGTGTTTTGAGAAGTTTCCGATTATTGACTTCAATTAAAGCAGGTTCTTGGCTTTCCTTGACATATTCTGCCAGGGCATCGTGTTTTTCTTCTTCGACTGCTTGTTTGACTTGTAAAAGTCCTCTGCCACCAGACTTTCTAGGCAGATAGAGCCGGTCAACATCACTGCGAGGATGTAATGAATTATGAATGGTCATGAGTTTTCTTGTTTTTCTGTCCAAATTGTCCAGTTCTGCCTGCGTCCAGTTTATGATGCCAGCAGTATATCTTATGACAGGTATGGCCCAGGTATTTATGGCCTTGATGGTGTTGTCTCCATTGAACTTGCTTTTGAGATTTTTTCTGACCCTTTGAATGTATTCTTTGCTGACCACAATTTTCACATGTTCATGTTTATTATTATTATTATTATTATTATTATTATTATTATTATTATTCTGCTTTTCCCTGCAAGAGGAGCCTCATAGAATTACTGAAAGGTCCTGGTTTGTCCTTCCCATGCTATGGCTGCATTCTATCCTGGTGTACTTTCCACTCCAGTGGACATGGCCTCATTTTCCATGCTCTGTGATTTGTTGGTATTTGAGATTTTCCTACATTTGACAACATAGCTATTGCTTCCTGGTCTCATGGGAGGTGGGAACAGTTGCTGGATTGTGAATTGCAGGAATCTGGAAGAAATATTGTATAGGTAATGGCACATTCTCCCCAGCCTGCCCCCAAGGAATAGCTCCTAGATAATTTTCATTTTGGACAAACTCACGCCTGTCTTTCAGCTTATATGGTTATACCTGCCTGGTATTTTAAGTCAGAGGAATTCTGATGCCTTATTTGCAGGAACAGTGCGGCCTTGCCTGCATTCATTGCTGCCGAAACTTTGACCTGTGGAATGTTATTTGGGCAGTTTTCTTCAAAGGCGAGGAACAGTGGGAGGTGGTTGTTGTTGTTGTGGCTTCGCGAAACAGAGCACTCTTTAAGGCTTTGCTGATCCTGCAAAGGGCGGATTAGTGTGCATTGCAAAAGGGGGATTAGCATGCATTGGCACTCTGGAAGACTGCTTTTGAGGGGAAAGTGGGGTAGATTGTTTAAAGGAATACTGGAAACTGATTGGTCGAATATGCACTTTTTGATGTATACCACTAAGTCTTGCTGTTCTGTTCTTCACTTAAAGTAAAGGAATGCATTTGTACACTTTCCCTATCTGTCTCTCTCTCTTTTATGTCTAACTAGCTGACTCCTGCCACGCGTTGCTGTGGCCCAGTCTGGTGACCTTGAAAATAGTGTTGGTTTCTAATATATGTAATTTCTTTATGCTTGTGGGTAAACAGTATTACTCATCAGTGTTGATGTAGAGATTGTCTGGTTTGCCTACTCTGGAACATGCAACATGTCTTGTCCTTTTTTAGAGGTCCCTTTGAAACCTATGATACTATATCTGGAATATATGTGGACGTGTGTGAATCATATCTATTTATCTATATCTATGGCTGGATGGCTCTTTTTCAGGAGGGCTTTGATTATGTTTTATTGCTCCGGTGAAGGGAGTTGTACTGGATGGCCTTAAGGCAGCATTTCTCAACCTGGGGGTCGGGACCCCTGGGGGGGTCACGAGAGGGTGTCAGAAGGGTCACCAAAGTCCACCAGAAAACACAGTATTTTCTGTTGGTCATGGCGGTTCTGTATGGAAAGTTTGGCCGAATTCTCTCGTTGGTGGGGTTCAGAATGCTCTTTGATTGTGGGTGAACTACAACTCCCAAATGTCAAGGTCTAGTTCCCCCATACTCCATCTGTGTTCATATTTTGGCATATGGAGTATTTGTGCCAAGTTTGGTCTAGATCCTTCATGTTTGAGTCCACAGTGCTCTCTGGATGAAGGTGAACTACAACTCCAAAACTCAAGGTCAATACCCACCAAACTTCCAGTCTTTTCTGTTGGTCATGGGAGTTCTGTGTGCCAAGTTTGGTTCAATTCCATCGTCAGTGGAGTTCAGAATGCTCTTTGATTGTAGGTTAACTATAAATCCCAGCAACTACAACTCCCAAATGACAAAACCATTTTTTTGAGTGATGGTCAGTCCTTGGGGTAGTAGGTGTCTTGTGGTCAAATTTTGTGGCAATTGGTCCAGCGGTTTTTGAACTATGTCACTCACTATGCACAGAGCATTTATATATATATGTGTGTTTGTGTGGATTGCATATCCCCCACCCCTTCAAGATAACATCATACTTACTGTCATATTGGTGGTGTGACATGTGTCTATTTTAGTGTGAATTTGCATATGCGCCTCAGTAAATGATTCCCCAGAGTCTGTTCAGTTATTTCCAACCCTGGTTTAACATGTTTTGCATTCAGTATCTTATGCAAGTGCGTCTTAAGTGTGCCTCCGTACCAGAGAAGGAGAAAAAGGGCCTTTTGTGCTTTGTATTTTCCCCTTTCTTCCTCTCTCTGTGTGTATGTGCCTTCAAATTCCTTGTTAACTTAGGACCATGTGAATTTTATAGGGCTTTTTTAGATAAAGAATTCTCAAAGGTGGTTTAACCAGTCCCTTCCTCTGAAATATACTGTAGCCTACAGCTCTGTTCGTTGGCGGTCTCCCATCCAATGAATATTTATTATTTT